CCGAATACTCTCTGAAGTTTCAAAGAATGAGAGAGATCTCATAAACACACTAAATTATGAAGAGGCTTCACAGAGTCAACACAGAGGTTGGGTGGAATTCAGTTCCAGAAACATTCGAGAACTGGCAGGAGCCCCGTGTTTCTTTCTGCAGGGGACTTATTAGAGGGCCAGAGGTGACTGATGCAAGCCCTGTTAAATCCCTCATTTAATTCTGCTTGGTTCAGAGAAAATTGCATTTCAGTAGCTCAATGATGGGCTTAATTGACATCCAACAGCTAGTGAGCTGGAGTTCTATGCCGAGAACTTCCCACTCCCTACCCCCACTGAATTTATATCGGCAAACATCCAGTCCCACCCAATAATTTCCTGTTCCGCACCACCATCACCATCACCATCATGCCCACTCCAGTGGGATCCATTAAAACCAGTTATGGGGAGTGGGTTGCTTGTAATGTCAGTAGACTGGCAATCTGGAGGATAGGCTAATGGTATGGTGACCTAGGTTCAAATCCATCACAGTGATGAAATATCTGGAATATCTGGAAGTAAAAGTTAGTTCCAGTAATGATGGCGAGGAAATGATCATTGATTGTCATAAAACCCATTTCATTCATTTATGTCCTTCAGGGACATTGCTTGCCATCCTTGCCCAGTCTGGCCTACATATGATTCCAGATCCTCAGCAATATAATTGACTCTTATCATCCCGATACCATGGCTGAACAAGCCAATCAGTCAAAGGCAATGAAAGTTGAACAACAAAATGCTGGGCAAACCTGACAGCAATAACACCAAGATACTATGAAAGTATAACAAAAAAAAAATTGACTGTTTCCTTTGTGACGAATCTAAAACACTAGTGCAGAGTCTAATGAAAAGAGATAGATATTTAGGACTGAGCTGAGGATACATTGCTTCAGTCAGAGGACGGTAAATCTTTGTAAATTTTGACCATCGATGGTTGTAGATGCTTCATCATTGAATAAAGTTATAGCTGCGATTAATAGATTTTTGGTCTCTTGTACAATGAAGGGATTTGTGTTGTAGGTGGGCAACTGATTTGAGGCAGATCAGCCATGATCACATTGAATGACAGAACAGGCAGTAGGGATCATACAGTCTGCGCCTGCTTCTATTTCTTATCTTCTTACTTTGAAGAAAACTGTGTGGAATGCTAGCTTCCCAATACATGCATGTCAGTACAAATTGATTTCATTGATGAGGGTGAAAGCTTTTCAAATGGATGAAGATCACATGGCTCCACTTGACTGAGGAGAAGTCAAGAACATGAATACTGACTTCTGTAAGTGTTCAGCTTTGTGGGAGCTGTTAAATGTGACCCATGGTGACCACTTGAGCAGCAAATGTTTGCAGGGAAACACATGAATAGTGGTAGGAGCCTGGGGACCACTGAGGATTACAGGGACTTTGATGTGCATGTCCACCAGTCCCTTAAGGTAGTGGGACAAGTAAATAAAGCAGTTAAGGTAGCAGATGGGATACTTGCCTTTGTTAGATGAGGCACAGAGTTTAAGAGCAGGGAGGAGATGCTGGAACTGTATAAAACATTGGTTAAGCCACAGCTAGAGTACAGGATCGTGTACAGTTCTGGAGGTATCTGACTGCACTAGAGAGGATACAGAGGAGATTTACCAGGTTGCTATCTGGGCTGGGGAGTATAAGTCAGAAAGGGAGATTAGATAGACTGGGACAACAGAGTGTGGAGCTAGAGGAACACAGCAGGCCAGGCAGCATTAGAGGAACAGCAAAGTTGGTGTTTCTAAAGAAGGGTCCCAACCCGAAACGTCAATTTTCCTGCTCTTCAGATGCTGCCTGGCCTGCTGTGTTCCTCCAGCTCCACACTCTATTGTCTCTGACTCCAGCATCTGCAGTTCTTGCTATCTCTTAGATAAACTGGGGTTGGTTTTCCTTAGAGCAGAGGATTAACACACAGAAGATAGAAAATTGGGATTAATGAGTCTTTTCCAGATTGGAAAGACTTAATAAGTGGAGTGCCTCAATTATTTACTATCTATATCAATGACTTGGAGGAAAAGGCAGATTGTAATGTATCAAAATTTGTTGGCAATACAAAAATATTTGAGAGATCATGTTGTGATGAGGACATAAGGAAGTCAAAAGAGGCGATAATTAACTTTAGTGTGTGTGGGGGGGGTGGGCGAGATGGTGTACAAACAATAGACAGATGGAATTTAATGTAGAAAAGCATAAGGTAATGTACTTTGCTAGGAAGAATCAAAAGTCAGACTATTTAAATGGAGAGAGACTCCAGAAATGTGCAGCACAGAGGGATCTGGGTGTTCTTAAACATGAAACACAAAATGTTACCATACGTGGGCAGCAAGTAATTAAAATGACAAATGGAATGTTGGCCGTAATTGTCAGGGGGTTGGAGTTTAAAAACAGGGAAGACTTATAATTGTATAAGGTGTTAGTGAGATCGCACCAATAATACTGTTCCCGTATTTAATAAAAGGATGTATTGTCATTGCAGGTACTTCGAGAGTCATTTGGCTGATTCTTGGGATGAAGGTGCTGCCTTATCAAGCACAGCTAAATAGATTCTGCATTTATTCTTTAGAATTGAGAAGAATGAGGAGTGATCTCATTGAAACATGTAAGATTCTGAGGGGGCTTGACAGGATAGCTGTTGAGAAGATGATTCTAATATTGGGGGAATCTTCAACTAGTGGATATAGTTCCAGAATAAGGGGACACTCATATCAAATTGAGATGTGAAGGAATTAATTCTTCCAGAGGCTAGCGAACATCTGGAATTTTCTACTTCAGACTTGTGGAGGCTAGAGCACAGAAAATATTTGGACAGGTGGGTAGATTGTGGAAACATTGGAAGTGTTGAGTACTCTGAGAAGCTGGCATGAAATAGCAGTTGAAGTCTGCGTTAGATCGACTAGGATTCTAATAAATGGTGGGGCAGGTTTGATAGACTAAATGACCTACTCCTGATCCTCTTTCTTAATTTCTCATGTACTTTAAACATGATGAGCCAAATTTGGAAGTCCCACACTCATTTGAAACAGATTGTGTTTTAACTACAGGGAAAGACAAAGTCCTGATTCACAAGAAGGAGCCCTGGAATCAGCAGGGCCATTTGAACTCAATGTTGAGTTCAAACAAACTAAAATTTTACTGTAACATGGGCCTTAACCCATTGTGTGAGAATTTCAAATTTTTAGGGTAGATATAAATGCTCCTGAATGGTGGATAAGATCTGCAGAACTGTTAAGCTGGCAAGTTTTTTTAAATCTTCAGCCCTTTAGAAAAATAATTACCTGTGAGAGTTGAACAATAATCTGTTTCATCATTTACAATAACCAAGTGATGATACTATTCAAAGGGCTATCATTCTATACTTTTTAATGTTTGACTGCTTTCCACAATCTGCAATTATATGAGCAGAGTGTCCTAAATTCACAGTTTGATTGATAGCTCAAATATTCCAGAATTAGCTAGATTCAATATGGAGTAATGAATGCAAGTTTGTTTGTTTTTACAGGTGATGATGCAAATGAAGGGTTTTAAAGATTTTGTCATTTTTTAAAAATTCAATCATGGGATGTGGGTGTCTCTGGCTAGGCCAGCATTTATTACCCATTCCTAATTGCCCAGAGCACAGTCAACCACATTGCTATGGGTCTGCAGTCACATGCAGGCCAGACCAGATTAGGATGGCAGTTTCCTTCCCTGAAGGACATTAGTGAACAAGATGGGTTTTACTGACAACCAACAATGGTTTATGGTCATCATTACACCCTTAATTCCAGATTCTTTATTGAAATTAAATTGCACCATCTGCCATGGTAGGATTTGAACCTAGGTCTCTAGAACATTAGCTGAGTTTCTAGATTAACAATCTAGCAATAATACCACTAGGCCATTGCTCCCCCCACCTCTATGGGCTTTTATTAATGGAAGTTTTATTCATACAGTGATACATTTGTACATTTATTTCATCTTAACATAGCTCCTAAAGGATACTGGATGAGCTGGCATGGAGGATGTTAGGAAAAAAGGTAGTGGGTGGTGGGCATGGGTTGGCATGAGTTGACAGTAACTTACCATGGGGATTATGAGGCACGTGGGGATATAAGTTGCACAGGGGCAAGAAGAAAATTGGAGGTGGGTGATGGGAGTGAGGACTGTAGGGTCTAAGATTTAAGGAAGCAGCCGGGGCTCAATCCTGCATTCGCCTCCCTCCACCCCATCCCCAACACAAAAAGTTGGAAATCGAACCTGATGGGACACTTAATTAAAAACTGAAAAAACTGCAGATGCTGTAAATCAAACACAAAAGCACAAATTTCTGATGGGACACCTTCTCATTTCCAAGCATTTCTAACACTTCCAAACATTTCCAAAATCAGGCTTAGGAAATAAAATCTGACAAATTACAACAGATATCATCTGACAAAAATTACACTCCTAATGCAGAGTCTGGTTAGGTTTGAGCACTTACAGGGAATTCTGGCATGAAAAGGACTTATCTGAATTCCTCCTTTGGGTTCCCAGTAGATAAGCTCCCCACCAGGAGTGTCAACTTGGAAAAGAAAAGTTCTAATGACTGAGGAAACAGTTTCATTATCAAAAGGTAATGAAGCAATTCAAACCTCACCTTCAGGCATTTGGAATTTATAATGACTATTTGCTACTTCCAACCGAAGACACAATGTCTTGTCAGACAAACAGGAGGCTGGAAAAACATAGCAGGCCAGGCAGCATCTGTAGAAGGAGAAGTCACCATTTTGGGTATTACCCTTCTTCAGAACTGGATGTGGGGCAGGGGGAGCTGCAGATAAAGGTGTGTGGATGGTAGCAGAATGGTGGTGATAGGTGGACACGAGTAGTAGGTTTGTCTACCTTGGATTCCAGCATCTGCAGTTTTGTTTTTGACTCTAACAATGTCTTGTCACATTGATGCAATGCTGAACATTGTTTCTGATGTGAAACTTTGTACTGACCTGGATCAAAGAAAACAATTGCTTTCAAGCAGGCATATTCATTGTCATCGATCTGAATTTCTTGGAAAGGCTGCACCAACTCATCCAAAATCCTATTTGCCACGCGACTAATTTCTATTTCTGGACTGTTGCGGTGTATGGCATAATCATTCCCTGTTGAAAACAGCATCAGTAGTTTGTATTGTATTCCATTTGGATAAGATTTGCTCATTGTAATTGTATTAGTTTTACGGAAAGGACATATTTTAAAAGCTATCCATAAGCTACATGAATGTTAGGAATTTTTACCTAGTAAAAGGACATCCTTGTATAACATGGATCGTTTTGCCACTCCAAGTAGTAAATGCTCCCCAGCATGTGCTCTTAACAAAGCAACCTGATGCACAAGATAGATAAGGAAGTTAAAAAACTATGTTATGTGTAACCAATACATAATTTCTAAACCTGCACACTGCCAATTGTAAATAATATTGCTATTTTTGTTTAATCAAGGTTCTAAGTTTCAAACAGTTTGATTCTGTGACCACCACTCTCACCCCTATCATCAAAGTTAAAACTAATCGAGAAGCCAAAATTACAGAGGCTCCAAGAAATTTTGAGTGGCTTTTTTTCTCATAACCAAATTAATATTTATGATGTTAGTCAGTATACAGCACAATGGGTTTACTTAAAAACAATAACAAAATAAATTAATGGCTCTTTCTTAACCTGTCTATAAATTTATACTGTCAGCAAGAATTATTATGCTTCGTTGGCAACATTTGGATCCCACAAATAACACTTCCATTTTAAAATGGTGCCAAGCTAAAAAGAATGTGGGACAGGATATTGTAAATCAAGCCAACTCAATTGCTGTTCTTTTAACTTCCAATTAAGATCAGGTCCAAAGCAAATCTCAAGTTGAAATCACTCCAATTGGGCAATTCATGGCTTAACTAAAGAAAAAAATGATTTTGTTCAATTTAAATTATTTCAGGTTTGGCCATCTTGGCTTTGATGCTCTGTATGTCATGTACCCTCTTTATCCTTGTTGGCACTTCTGTCCCAGATTATGTACTACTCAAAAATAGAAGAATGAAATCAACAATCTTCCATGATGCCATTGTTATCCCAGTCTCAGTCAGAGATGAGAATTACACAGAGTTAGCCTCAGGGAGAATCCCACAACAATAAAAATAATGGGTCCCTAATCCAAGCACCTTGTTGCAACACTATGATTGAGACATCAAAGGCACTCAAGCAGGAAGGTTTACTGCTTTTGCAAAACAATTGCTGCATTATTGTTCATGACAAAGCCACAAATGCTCCTACCATGATGTAATATTTGTCAGTAGCTTGTATATACTGCAGAGTATCACATACTTGGCACACGTTTTACCAATTGGTAACATTTTACCAATATCCTCTAATCCATTTTCTTTTTGGGGTCAGGTTTCTCAAGGTAGCAGAGTCTTTTATTGTTTCTACTGGAGAACTAGGGAATAATTTGTCCAGAGATTTAAGTGACGGGCAAGTAAGCAGGTTAGAATCTAATCAGTTTCTGAATTTCACCTTGACTTCCAGAAATAGACTTGGGAGATACATCAGCTTTCCTCCATTGTTAGAGATGTGCACTGATCAGTGGAATGAGCTTTACAAATTCCTAAGTGAAAATGGAATCCTTAAAAATCATGTATTTTCAGAACTGGGGTCAATTTATCATTTAATAAGGGAGACAGTGGTGTTATGGTGATGGTAATAATCTACAGGACTAGATTAATACTCTGACAGCATAGATTCAAATCCCACCACTGCAGGTGAACTTTAATTCCTTAATTCTTCAGAACTGAGTACTGGATGATGAAAGGTACCCTATCGGTCATATCCCATGTTTGTCTTCTGAGCAGGTTACTACGGTTTTTCGCTGTGGCACGATGGAACTAGCGATCGATAAGTTGAGCATTGTATCCCATTCTTATGAGGGTGTCCTTCAACACCTTCAGGTGTCTGTCGTGTTCCTCCTCATAGAAGCAGATCCTGTGTATGTGTAAGGCTTGTCCATAGGGGATGGTTTCTTTAATATGTTTAGGGTGGAAGCTAGAGAAACGCAGCATCATGAGGTTATCCATAGACTTGCAGTAGAGTGATGTACTGAGGTGTCCATCCTTAATGGAAATGCATGTGTCCAAGAATGAGACTGATTCTGAAACAGTAATCCATGTTAAGTCTGATGGTTGGATGAAACTTGTTGATATCACTATGTAAATGTTTCAGTGATTCCTTGCCATGAGTCAAAGGAAGAAAATGTCATCAATGTATCTGGTGTATAGCATTGGTTGGAGATCCTGTGCAGCAAAGAACCCTTGCTCGAACTTGTGCATGAAAACTGCATATTGGGGAGCAAATCTGGTCTCCATGGGTGTTCCATGTGTCTGGATGAAGAACTGGTTGCTGAAGGTGAAGACATTGTGCTCGAGGATGAAGCAGTTGAGTTGTAGGATGACACCTGGAAAGTGGCAGTTGTTGGTGTCGAGTATTGAGACTGTCGCAGCGATGCTGTCGTCATGGGAGATGCGGGTGTAGACTACTGAAACGTCCACTGTGATGAGGAACGTTCCTGTTTCGATTGGTCTGTGGATGCTGAGTTTCTGGAAGAAATCTGTAGTGTCGCGACACAGGCTAGGGATTTCTTGTACACTGGATTTCAAGATGCCCTCAACATAGTCAGAGAGGTTCTCACACAATGTCCTGTTTTGGTATAGGGACTATAAACGGCCATGGAGATGATTGGAGGCATACAGTAGCATGGATTTTTGCATGGCCATGGAGAATGGGTGAAGAGGCATTGGTTGTCACAGAGGATATAAAGGGATACATGGTCTTAGATGACCAAACAGTGATGTAGAAAGTAAGATAAAGTGAGAGAGAATTTGAAAGCAGGAAGAACATTTTGTGTTATGATCTTTATTTTTAAACTTTAATTAACATTGCGAGAGTCCCCAAGCACTAGTTCATTGACAATAATGTGCTTTTGAATTTCCTAGGGTGGTAAAAGGCACTACATTAATGCAAAGCCTTCTTATAATCACAAAAGTAGAACTGCAATGATTTTTTTTTAAACCACGTTTTAGATTCCTTACAGAATAGCACTGTATCCAGTTCGAATTTTCAGATCCCACAGCTATGTCGCTCCATCTTTGAACTGCTTTAGCTATGCTAAACCTGAGTTATCATACCAGAGTCTCTAGAATTTAACTAAATGGAACTTTGGCTTAACTTACAATCAAACCAATTTCTTCAACTTTATCTGTCCCAACATTTTGCAGGAAATTTAAAGAAACATGGATAAATTTGTAACTAAAATTACAGTTCAGTTGTTGAACAGTAGCCAATAGCATTTTCTACCCTCAGTGGATTTGTCATACCAAAGGCATATCATCCATATATTTGAGAACAGGGTTACAAGCTTACTTGTTATTTTGATCAGTCAGAATTTACTCAGATTTGCATTATTTTTGACTCAGATAGTGTCCAAATGTCCTTCAAATGTAGACAGAATTACAATTTCCAAATCAAATATTTTTGATGCATCATCATCCAGGAAGAATACCCCACTTCCTTAATTGGGATATTAAGAAAATCTCCCCTATTTCACTTTTCAAAATAATATTTATTGATTTATGGCTTGCAAATAGATTGGGGGAAATTTCAAAACATACCTAGACAGTGGAAGCAATCAATGACTTAAAAAAGAAACTGGAGAGGGTTTTTGAAGGAAAGACACTTGCAGGATTCTGGGGATTGAGTCAGGGAACGAGACTGAATTGTTCTACAGAGAGCCAGCATGGGCTTGATGGGCTGAATAGTCTCCTTCTTTTCTGTAATGACTTTATTACAAAAATTTCATATGCATGGATATACACACATATTGATGTTTGAGTGCAAATACATACATCAAATATACACTCAGGTCAGTTGATATAAATCTTTCCAGTTCAAAGTTACATGACGTTTGAAAATATTCATACTTCACCTGATCATCTAATGGCAGTTCACAGAAAGCTGGAATGTATTTTGCCCATTCCACCAAAACTAGTAACTGTTCTTTCATTGACTCGCAGACATCACTAATACTAGCAATTTTCTTTGTGGTGATATCCGTGCTTGTTGCAGAAACTGACAGTGAGATCTGCTGAGAAACAAAACCAGGACCAAATTAAATTACAGCTCAGGAAATGTTAATTGTTTTCACAGGCAGTTGCCGTTCCCAGAACACGATCCAAAGAAGCATTCATGCAGATAATTAAAAAATCAAATGAGATTATTTTTGCTTCACTTGTGACTAATGTGAATGGAAATCTGCAGCCTGTTGTTTGTCCGACAGCAATGAGATCTTATAAGGACCTGCAAACAGGTTTCTGAATTCGAAAAAAGTGATTCATGTTTTAGTAGCACGATACCACTGAAAAATAAAATATGAAGCCAAAATAAAAATTCAGTCATCCAGAAAAAAAGTGTTTTGTTTGTAAAGAATGTCATAAAACCATACCAAGCAAAGTCTTTGAAAGTTAATTAACTTGTTTGGAACATTTAACACTGAGCACTGATTCCTCATCTTTTAAATGTAGTCCATTAAAAAGGATTCATCATTTTCGTTTTGTGGCAAATGTGTTTTTACTGGTGTGTGTTGTTAAAAAAACAATTCTCATGTTGCATATTAATTGAGTGCACCTATTATTTGCTTTGTCATGGTAAAAGCCAAACATCTGATTTCATTCAAAATTATGTTGAGAAAATTAATTATCTGGCTTCAAAAGGTAAAACTAAAATTAGGAATTTAGAGATGGGATACCATTGTTAAACATTTCATTATAAATTAACAATGATCAACTTACATTGCAGCTCCCATGGATGTTATACAACTGCATTTTCATAAAAGTTACTTTTTACATTGTCAGCTTAAAACCAGCAAAACACAACCGTATTGGTATTCTGTCCTCGGAGTGCACTACAGTATGTAGGTCAAACTGTAATTTGATTTTTTTTGCTTTGGTAACATAATTTGTGCACATTAAGAATGTTGTGTGTAACATGGCTAACTGTGCCTTTCTTTAAGTGACAAAAGAGCTTCATGCAGAGTTTTGCATTCTGGTTCAGTCACTCTGCTGCCCTGTCACTGATGACAACCCTGCTGTCAGCAACAGAGAAAGATGTGGCACAGTGGCATGGTGGTTAGCACTGCTGCCTCACAGCACCAGGGACCCAGGTTCAATTCCAGCCTCAGGTATCTGTCTGTGTGGAGTTTGCACATTCTCCCCATGTCTGTGTGCATTTGCTCTAGTTTCCTCCCACAGTCCAAAGATGTGCAGGTTAGGTGGATTGGCTGTACTAAATTGCCTGTAGTGTTCAGGGATGTGTGGGTTATAGGGGGATGGGTCTGGGTGGGATGCACTGAGGTTCAGTGTGGACTTGTTGGGCCAAAGGGCCTGTTTCCACACTGTAGAGATTCTATGATATGGTGCTACTGTTTTTGGAAGCCATGTGCCCCTCACTAAAGGCTGGCTGTGGTCACCTCAGAAGAAAACAGTGACACCAATGATAATATATAACAGAATAAGTTTGATTATCAGAAATTGAGGTGTATGCACAGGCCAGAAAAAAACACTGCTGTGCTTTCACACATTTATGCTGCTCCTCCAGCCTTATGATAAATTGGCTAAGTACCAAATTACAATCACAAATTTGAATAACTCTTTTTCTGTATCTTGAACCCGCCATAAAATGGCCCTGATTTTGATGTGGTAACAATGACAAAATTGTCAAAGTTCAGAGCCACTACTCAATGTGAAACAGGCAGTAACTTCACAGTCTAAATGTAGAAGTCTAGAATGCACTATCTATTTTTTTTCCAGAGGCAATGTAGAGGTCTTGCCAGATGGCAATCAATGGGAAATCTATGAATTGACAAAATCTTGCACAACAGTGCTGTTAGTAAAACTGCAAAACCCCTTGTCAAATATTACATGTTGAATGAAGGTGTAATTGAGTTTTTAATGGCCTATTAACTTCATAATTACTGTTAAACAGCTTCACTGACCCTGAAAAAGCAAATTTTATATTTGTTGTGTATCAAATTTCTCCATAATGATTAAAATTGTATGCAGCTGACTTGTCTATCTTTATTTTAACTTCAATGTTAATCCAATCATAATTACTTTTTTTCCTGAAAATTAAGGTAAAAGAGAAAGTTATGGGTTGCTTTTAACTGACTGATTAGCTGTGTATGAACACTCCCATGTCATTGGCTGTCAGTATGCCTTGGTAACATCATTGCTGTTGTATGTCAGGGAATCCCCTTAACTTGGTGCCAGATTAAACTGCCAATAGGAAGGTAAAGCCCACACCACAGAAACTGTTTGATCTTTGTGGGCAGTTTCCTTTGAGGTTTTTCACTTCACTGCCTAGTCCAAAATCCAGGTGAATATAAGCACCACTGATTCTAACCATCAAAAGCATTAGATAGCAACAACGACCAACTAAATAGCCCCAAAAGTCTCTCCCTAAAGGGCCGCTGCATGGCTATTATTGCCATAGGGTGGTTTTGATTTAAAGTTGTCCAGATAAGGACCAACTTTTGCCCTGGGGTGCGTTGGGAAAGAAGGTGACCTGCTGTAAAATTCGCCTGAGTATCTTTCAACTCTCACTAGCAGTTTCAGCCTACACTTTCTTCCAAGTTTAAAAGAAAAGGGAATGTAAGAGACTTCAGTTTACAAGACTTCAACAGACATTATCTGCCCTTCATGAGAGCTGACATTTATTCTAACTGGTTATGACAGCCAAACTGTGGGTCATGCTCCTTTGACTAGCCAAAATGGAGTTTAAGTTCAAGCCACCTGCTGCTTTCAGGTTTCCTGTTTGAATGACTCATGTCCTGCACCTTTCCCCAATTGACAAAAATTGGACCAGCTGGAAATGTCATTTTAACAGGAATAAGGTCTGTGGAATCTTCCCAACATCGGGACAATCTAAACTTTGACCTCTCTTCATTCCATTTCTTTCAAAACTTCTTCACAGGATGCTGGTCTATTCAAAAATAATGAGATCAAATTTCACAGCAAATTTTGAATTGAAAAATGCTATTTAAAATTATGATCAAAGAAGTGACAACATTTTCCACAGGAGTTCTCTTCATCAGCCATGAACAAAAGTACAACAGTAAATCTGTTTAATGTGTGTCTTGTATTTTTCCATTCACAGGATGAGGGCATCACCAGCTGGGCCAGCATTTATTGCAGTTAAGAGTCAACCACATTGCTGTGAGTCTGGAGTTACATGTAGGCCAGACCAGGTAAGGATGGCAGTTTCCTTCGCTAAAAGACGTTAGTGAACCAGATGGGCTTTTCCTGACAACCAACAATGGATTCAGGGTCATCATTAGACTCCTAACCTTTACTGAATTCAAATTTCACTATCTGCTGTGGCAGGATTTGAACCTGGGTCCCCAGAACATTACATGGGTCTCTGGATAAACCATCCCGCGATATTACTGTTAGACCATCACCTCCCCTATATTGTAGCTGATCCTTGGCAAAGTTATGATAGCCAATCCAAAAAAACCCTAAGAGAAATTATGGAGACTTGTCTTGCCTGAAGGATTGAATGTGACAACAGGAGATAAAGGGAAGTTAGTTTTTGTACTGTGTCTGCTCTACCTGATGAGATAGAAGTTCAGCCTGAGCCAATGTGTTGATAGAAGTTGAGCTGCAGCTTTCATAGCTGTTCCGTCTGTTACTTATTCGATCTCGTTCATTCTGTACAGCTGAGAAAGAAACATTCTTTTCATTACGTAGCAATTACACTTTCTGAAATCAAAAAAAATCTTTTAACAGATGGCTGAGGAACAAAAACTTGTTCCTGACGCTGCGCTTATGAAGATTCATCTCCCAGGTAGCTTGAGAGTTGTTAATGTGGAGCACTATCTTTTTACATAGATAATAAGCACAGTTATTTGCTGCATCAGCTCTGAAGGTGTTTTAATTAACCATGTTTATTATCCCTCTTTGCTGATCATAATATTCATTTTGTTAAGAAATGCCTTTATTTACATTAACATGCATTTAAGCTTAAAACATGGCATGAGGTCAATTTTGATAGAGCTCTGTAAAGGTTCTGTTTCTGTTAAAACTTTGGGAAAAATACCTATGCTATGCTACTCGTCACAATAACATTATGCTGGTATTATTAGCAGCAGCAACGGAGAAGATAAATTATCCCATTAAGAACTAGGTGTTCTTAACTTGTGGGTATGGCATAAGAAGAATGTTAAATGTAACAAGCCTCATTTAATAAATAATCTTGAGCCCAGCCTTTTGTTGAGATGAGAACCTGTTTGTTGCAGGAACAAAGCAGCTCTACACCTTACCTTCCCTTTAACAATCTCATTTTAACTGAGACAGAATACGCCAATTCAGCAGCCAATGTGGAATATTTAAAGAGCAACATTCCTTTTGAGATATGCCAACACAATGCCATAAATTTGATCATTTAAGGGTGATTAGTAGACACAACATGCGATTTGACAAGTAATGTCCTGTTGATTCATTGTTGAAAGGTATCTGGTCACATTTCATTTTGAGCCCTAACAAATAGGCTTTGGAGACTGATGAAAAGTTATATCGAATTAATTCACCCCAAGTCTCAAAAATTGCAAATTCTCTCCAGGTGAGAATTGTCACTCAATGATAGCTGTTCAGGAATCAATGAGAATGCTCCAATATGCTCTCGGCATTATGGCCAGATGATTGGGTCACACCGGGATTGGCTACAGCCAAGCTCCAAACAACAATGCACCTGCCAGGTCACCAACAGCCTCATTGGAATGGGTCAAACTTAGAGTCAGTGGCATAGCATCATCAGGTTTCCTGTATTTTGACTGGCACTGCACACAGGTTATGTCAGATGGGATTCTGCAAGGCTCAATAACTGTCTGGATCAGCTGTTTCGAGAATTTGAAGTTCCGGAAATAGAAGAGGTTGGAGATTGATCAACTCTTACCTTTCCAGAATGATGCCCACTGCTAGCTGCCCTGGCTGCAGACTGCAACCCGCAGGGTCAGATTTAGAGAACTGGAGGGAGATGATGCAAGCACTATATGCCAATTCTGTCACCCCAGGACTGAGGAACAGTGATGCAATATGTCCCATTTCTTCAATATGGCTGGCAAAAGCAACATACTCACTCTTTACCTTCATGCTTATGCTGAGCTTGATCACACTTGCTAATTTATTCAAGCAATGTTTGTTTAAGTCATTCTTTACAATTCTCATGGATTAAGGGGTAAACCTCAACAGCTTGCAATATGGATCAATTGAAAGCGAAATACTGCAGAAGCTGGAGATTGGAAATGAAATTGCTGGAAAGACGCAGCAGAATTGGTGGACAGAGAAACGGTTAATGCTTCAGAACTTCAGAGCAGCATGGACGCGAGCTTCCAAACTATTCTTTACTTCCTGAATCACAAGAGCTGACTCAGTCATTTCATGGATTCTTTCCTTTTTTCACAAATCTGCAATGGATGTGGCACAGGAGAAACAAGATGAAAATCACGGGACTGAATAAAATGCTGATGAGAACAAAGCTACTCAGCCAGAAGCGTGTTTGATTTCCTTTTATGTGTCTTATAGAGGGATAAGAGTCACAAGGTGGCTTGGTGGTTAGCAGTGCTACTTTACAGCACCAAGGATCTAGGTTCAGTTCCAGCCTTGGCTGACTGTGTGGAGTTTGCACACTCTGCATGGGTTCCCTCCAACAATCCAAAGATACATGCAGGTAAGGTGGATTGGCCATGCTAAATTGTTCAGGCTAAATGGATTAGCTATGGGGAAATACTTGGTTACAGGAATGGGGTGGGATGCTCTTCAAGGGGCCAATGTGGGCTGAATGGCCTGCTTCCACACTATAGGAATTCAATGAGTGAAGTTGCAGATTCTCATTCTTTTCTTAATTTGCTGCTGTGCACCATTGCACTCTGAGAATATGGGTACAGAGTAATAAAAATAGTGATAACTGATATAGTGAACCTAGAAATGAGTGATGGAAGAGTTGAGCACTGTTCTTCCCTCAACTGCTTGCTGCTATCCTAATTTTGATTTCTGCAGGCTGCATAGAGTGTCAAGACTCCAAATGGAAGTTTCCACGTCCAGCTGCTAACACCTATGTTACACCAATACCTGTCCCAATGGGAATGCCAGTAAGAGACATGAAACACATGTATATCGCCCTCTACAGGCCATCAGTAGGCATAAATATTTTTACATAAAGGTGCAAGGGTGGAGCAAATCTTTTCAGACAGCCCAGGCCAGCTGATAAACCTCATCATTGTCCTTACCTTCTTTCTTCATGCCAGCTCGAAAACATTTCCTCAATCTGCAATATCTGCATTGGTTCCTCTTGTCTTTGTCAACAACACATTGACGATTAAATCTGCAGGGTCAAATGGCAAATTCATAACTAACTTTGAACCAGAACATGCAGTCAGGACTGTTATTAGGGCTTCAAAAAGATATGTTTTGAAACTTAAAAAGATAAAATGTCAAGTTGCTCTTCTTTATTTATAACCACATCATGAGTGGAGACACTAACCAAACTGTAGTGGACAAACGTGAGAATAGACGTCTTCCCCTGATTATGTTAACAAAGTATTAAAAAAATTACTGTATTTGGCAAGAATAGTCCACGTGATCGGAAGGATTTTAAGGAACCAGTGGGTACTCCACATTGTCAACATGACACGAACAGTCTAAAAGGAAAATTGTTTGTATCACTGTAAAATAACAGCAGTGTGTACTGTACGCATAAAAAGGAAGAAAGTTGTGAATTATAGTTCCAAAATATGCAGATTACACGATATTAAGATCAAGGATGCAGCAAAGTAAGTAACCCAGAAGTGAAATAATGCTCAAATGCAAACAGGATAAGGCTTTCAATTATCAGAGCGTCAATATACTAAAGAAAGATGCCTCTGTAGGATAATCACCTACCTGAACTTTTACTGATCTTTGATTAGGGTCAAAATTGATACATGCCAAGAAGGTCATTATGGAACAAACGGTAGACACTATAACCAGAAAAGATACACTCCAAATGGGAAAGGAGTAGTTCTTTATCTGTGAAACAGGCAGATAGGTTTTGAGGCTTTGGATATAACAGTGGTGCTTGGCATTAGAAATGTCAGATATGAATAGTGCTGTACTCACTGTAGGGTAACATTTAATTGTGACAGGGCTACAAAATGAGGGATAGTTGATTGACCATCAGTTATTGTCCATTTGACTGTTTGAAGTTAATGGAAAGGAAAGGTAGGCAGATTGCATATTGGTCTATTCATTCACTAATCTTTCCTTATCACTTCTCAAGTTGATTTTTTACCCCTTTTGTTGCACTAACTGTGTACAAGAGAGAATGTTTAATGTAATGATAATGTAAATAAGGTACCCATAGTACTCCAACAGCCTGCTTTAGAGAGTCTGGAGAAACTGGAAAACATGACTGGACAAAAACCCACGTGACCAATACACTGTGGAAGACGATTTGAAGCAGTAACGGAAATATAGGATGGAACACTGGTGAAAAAGGGTCCAACCATAATGTGGAACAAGGGAACTATCAGCACCATTACAAACTGACTATGGCTGATTCAAAGTTAACATATTATTCAACTAACTAAATACAGACTCGGAGATAGTAGGAACTGCAGATGCTGGAGAATCCGAGACAACAAGGTGCAGGGCTGGATGAACACAGCAGGCCAAGCAGCATCATAGGAGCAGAGAGGCTCTCTGCTCC